AATAAATTTCTAAACTTTGTTAAATGACTTTGTAAAGCATCTTTTAACAAACTGTCCATAACTTTTCCCACAACTAATGTAAGACTAATGGGTCTATAATTACTGGGACATTTTTATCACCTCCCTCGAAAAGATGAGTTACATTAGCTAACTTCCTATCCTCTGGTATCTGCTCACTATTCAATGACTGACAAAAATAGTAGTAAGTGGCTCACATATCCAATTTTTAACCTCCTTCAAAACAACCCTTGGGGAAATATTATCTGGGGGGGAATAGTGTGAAATTTGCTGAGTGAATAAGGAAAGAATTATGTTTCTCATTTTCAGGGAGGGGGGCAGTGCTTACTGTTATTTGTAGCCAAATGATGTCATGGTTAATTAATTTACTGAAGCACTATGTCTATCAAGTTTCTGTTCACAATTTTAAACATTGAAGTTAAAAGTTTCAAGGTTATTAAATTTTAGGAAAGTAAAAAAAAAAGATGTATGTAAACACAGGAAAAATAAATGAATCCGAAATGAATGGGTACAATGAAGTAATATGATACACAGCCAACAGAAAAAAACTAATACACTTAATAGGCTGATAAGTTAAACAGTAGTTGTGTACACAGTTTGATCTTAATATCTAAAAATTTTCAAACTATTTACTCATTGTTTAACTGAAATAGGATTGCCTTTTTTTCTCTCCTTTCCACATTAGATTTTAAAACTTATTGATGCTAAATAAGAACTTAATAGTTTTGATGTAATGATTTTTATTTTTCTGTGGTATTTTCTAAAGTATAAATAACTTTGATCTATACAAATGCCAATCACAACATGAAATTGGATGTGAATAAGCATTACATGTAGTTTCATTTCATGTTTCACTTGAGCTTTATAATTTATATATCAAGCTATTTATATAAACACTTAGTGCTTACTATTATGTTCATTTCACAATAGAATTTGCAAATAGCTTAAAACTATATGGGGGAAAGAGATTAAACCACAATGTTTCTACAACAAGAAATTGTGAGGCTCGCTTCCTTAGAACTAGAAAAAGATTAAAATCTCCTCAGACAGAAAATTTATCTAAAACAAACTTTTAATACTCTAAAAATTAATATGTAAGAAAGGATTTAATTCAGTCATTAACTGAAAAAAAATTCCATTTGCTTTAAACCAACACTTACCAGTGAAAAATCTTCCAAAGTGGTTAGCTGCTTCAACAACAGCTTTGTATCCTGCAATGTTTGCCATGGAGCTAAGAGCATCAAAAACTTGAGCTCGGCTAATACGTGGGATAGCATCCATGGCAAAAGCTGTCATCTGTTTCTTGGCCAACATGTCCACCAGGTCTTTGTTTTGAGCAGGATACAAAAAACTTATTAGTGTTCCTTTATCTCTAAACAAGTCTATTTCTTTGTTTAATGGTCCTCGTACTTTGAGTATAATGTCAGAATCGAAAGTTGATTTCAAGTCTGTAATTTTAGCACCTGCTTCTTCATAGGCAGAGTTCAAGAACTTTGAACCAACTCCAGAATTTTCCTCAACCTTCACGGTGAATCCTTTCTTTGTCAAAGCAGTTACAGCAGCTGGAGTTAAAGAAACCCTCTTTTCATTCTGAAAGACTTCCTTGGGAACACCCACACTTATTTTAGAGTATGGAATGCCTTTAACTGTTTCTGTTTCTTTTCCCTTCTCTTGTCCTTTAGGTTGACACCTCAGTCTTGTGCATGTCTGAAACCCTTGTTTGATACTCTCTCCCCATGGGCACTTGCTAAAGGCAGCTGGCCCTACATGGTCAAGAGTTCCACATGCTTTCAAAAGATGGAACATGCTGGCCTATGATAAAAAAAAAGCATTTAGTTGATGAATCAAGTCATCTAAAAACTTTTCAATCTGTGTGTGTGTGTGTGTTACAGAAATATAATTAAAAATGTAAACTGAAAGAAAGTAATTAAAGCAAATCAGAGAAATATATGTATCTGCAACAAACCAGATAACTCTACAAACATCAGTGGGTATTCTTCACAGTTCTTACCTTAAGAAGCATTGACTGAAACCTATTATAATCCTATCAAATGCAGCATATGATTTATTATTAACTCTTCAAATGCAGCATATGATTTATTCATTACCATACACTAACTTCTGACACACTTACTAGATTATATAACCTTCGTGTTTAATTCTACTTCAATTTCCAAGTTTAAAAGATAGCTCCTGTGCCTTAATGTGCTATGTCTAGTGTTGAAGAAAATATTACCCTAACAGTGTACCATTCATTTGTATCTAAAGTCAACATGTAGCCATATAGATAAGACAAAGTTAGTTCCAAAATACAAATTTCTATAATCTTTTATCATTTTTTTGATATCAATCCAAAGGGTTGGACATCTATAAAATGAGTTGTTGGTCCAAACTTTAATCATAATATTAAACTTATATTACTTTTTCTTTACCTGGTATTTCTCTAAGTCAGGTTTGAATAAGATCGATCATTTGGCAGAAAGTGATTGTAAGTTTGATTCTAAGGGAAATATGAATTAATGATCTTCAACAGACAATTCAGTTAGATCTTTAACTTTTCCCCTCCATCTTTTTACCTTTAATTTTCATTTATTTCCTTAAATTGTTTTTTGTACAAGCCACATAAGTTGATATACTGTTGGTGACAGGTACTTTGAATTAGCAGCTGCCATGCTTTCTTACAAGTTTTGGTTGAATTGCATTTTGGCACAAACTGCAGAATGTTTTCTTATACTGCATAATTTGATATATGTAATAATAAACCCTAATAATCTTAGGTGGTGATATTTTTGTGAATGTTAATATTTTCTTATACTGAAAATGTATTTCTTATTGATACTTACATCAGAAAATAGTTTTTCTCAATTAGCACTGCCCTCTATTGGTGCAAATTTTCAATACTCACCAATAGCTTTCACCTTCTGCTTCTCCATATCCACTTATAAATTATTAAGCAGCAGCTCTCCACCAATAGGAGCACGACACAGCCTCTATCATAACCAGGACCCTTTTCACGTTTGCACTCATTAATCACTTTGAGATTGGTCAGAAGATTTACAACACATAACACCGGAAGCGCAGAAGCTGGGTGAGAAATGTGAGTAGAGATAAGTATCTATTGGAAATACATTTTCAGTTTAGGAAGATGCTAACTTCCAACACGATATCTTACCTCTTCTCACAAAATAGCTAGAATCCCAGATTGAGCTGGTGAAGGGTTTGTGAAAAAATGATCCCCCTTTAGTAGGCTCCCAAAGAGAGACCATGAGGTGTAGAACCAAAAAAGAAAATATCACACCTCAGCAAGAGACTGCACCACATCTGATCCAGGTATACTCTTTGCCCTTTTATGACTGTGTCATGAACATAAAAAGTAGAAAAACATGAAGGAATCTCATAATACGTATTATTGATTAATGGGACCTCTGGGTGTCGAGTGGTTAGGGTGCAACAGACTGTAGTGGTAGTTCGATCCTCATCCAACATCTGATGGCATCTGGACAGAGGATCGCCTGCCTCTTCACCTCTATATGTGAATTGGTGGGGAAGACGAGCTTCTGTACCAAAATTCATCTCCACTTGCGTGCATTTCCAATCCAAACAACACCTGATCCACCATGAACCGATATGCAGCAGATGGTAGGAAGGTGGAAAGCCATGGTGTAAGGACATTTCTGGTCCAAAACTTGGAGCCATTGGATATGGTTCTTCCCGTTTGAAGTAGGATGAGGATACCAAACCATACACAAGCGGGAATAGATGTGCTGCATCCAGCTATGACAAACACAAGATCCATCAGAAACTGACATTCAGCAGATGGTAGGAAGAGGGACCACAAACATGGGGTGCATCTCCAGTCCAAAGCTAGGCAGCATTAAGCATTTTATATCCAATCTGTGGTAGGAAGAAGGATACCGGCCAGAGCACATGTTAGGACTTACTTAGTTGAACCATCTCCAACTAACATCTGACTCCTGGGGATTGCATTCGGAGGATGGTAGGTAAGAGGAACATTCATCCTGAAGGGCAAAATAAAATATATATACATAGAAAGACATGACATGTCAGAATGCTTCAACCAAAATCTGACAGCTTATGTAACTGTACATCAGGTCCACAGCAGGAAGGGTGTCACATCATCACCACATGATTCTAATCATGACTGGGCCATCTCCAACCAATACCAGACCCACCAGGAATGGTAGGAAGGAGGAAAACCATGGTGCAAAAACCAATCTGCCTGATATATATATATATATATTAATACAGCATAATGAAACAACCAAAACCTGGCAGCATCCAGAATTGTACATCAGGTTCACAGTAGGAAGTGCTATATGCCATCAACACCCACAGAAGGACAGGCCTCCATGTTCCACTACCCCAGTGACTAGGAACTGGTAAGGACTCCCATATTCCACTAGAAGAAAGGAGGGAAAAACATGTTGGAGAGTTCAGAGGACTGCATCACTAGAGACAGTATAACGGGGGAGGGCAATATCCTATTTTGAAAAGCACAGCTATCATGTTGACAGAGCCGATCAACCAACACCTGGTGACATCTGGAATTATACATCAGGTCTGGAGTAGTAAGAGTCTCAACACCACGGAGCATCAGAAATGGGCAAAAAAAAAACCTGTTTGCTTTATTCATGTGTGTCCATGAGTGTATTGTCTGGGACGAACATATTTATAAAACACCACTAGAGAGAGAATACTAGCAGTTCTTTGGAACACCCGATCTCAACAGTGTACGTAACCTGATACTGCAACGTAAGTGTTTCAGCATAGATGACAATTGAAAGGAGACCCACAACTAACACCCAACGGCATCTGAATTGTACATCAGGTTGACAGTAGGAAGAGCTACAACATCAAGCACAGTCATATAATGGACAGTGCAGGTTTTAAAAAAAATTTATAGCTGGTCAGGCACCACTTGCCACAGAGTGCGATCCATAATACACTTGCAAAAAGGCACCTGTAAATAAAGAAATAACCAAAACATAGCACTCATCAGTCATAACAGCATCATGGTGTGTAAGATGGCAACTGGATGGAAACAAAACCCACTGAGCAATAAATGGCCATGTGATGTAAATAATGTGAAACAAAAGTAGGGGGTGTAGTCTACAAACCAGACCCAACGAAGATGGAAATTGGCAGCCAGGGTTTATGGTGAAATGATGGATCTGATGAGAAGATACCCTAAAATGGTGAAAGGGAAGAATACACCTTCCTAATTAACTGGTGAATCGAACTTGTAAGGGTAATGGGAGAGAGGTCCGGGAACATGGAAGAATTCTATGGAATAAATAAATGGTTACAGGAAGGGAGCAGTGTGATTGAGATACCATAGGAGGGCTCGGAACCAGACACAAGAGGTGGTCAAGATCAGAACAGTCATAAATGTGGAAAATGGAAGATAATAAAGTGGAATTACCCTCCATAACAGTAGAAGTCTTGGGCAAAAATGAACAATCGGGGGAAAGAAAAACATAGGAACTGTAAAACAACACACAATGAGCATCAATTGCAATGATCTGAGATTGCTGCTGGCCACATGCCAATAATATGAGGAATAGGGATTTTAAGGAAAAGTGATACAGGGAACACAAAGACAAAATTCAAAGAAAGGAAAAGTGAGTGCATGAAGGACAACAAGATTCCAATCTGGGAGAGACACAAGGTAGGGAGGAAGAAAAGGGAAAATTAATGAAATAACAAAGACAACACGGGAGATTGGAAGACAGAGGCAAACTCAGTAAATCCAAACATGCAAGATAATGCAGCTCAATAGCTAGCAACTGAAGAAACTGACAGTCCTCTATCAAAGAGCCAAGTGAAAAATGCAGTCCTCTGTGGGAAGGAAGGTTGTGTAGGACAATAACCTTGGCAAAGTGACCAGCAGCAGAAAGTATACCATGTATACTGATAAACTGCCAGGGAGGGAAGACATACAGGATGGGCAATAAATGAGGCAACACACTTGGAAAATCCAGATTGTCTAGCAAGAGACTGGTCAAAAGTCACACATGGAACCGGGCAAGAATGGATGGATGATGCACTCCTGATTGAGGTTGAGGAAGCAGCATGGGAGACAATGGCAAAGGAAGAAGAGGTGACACTGAACACCTGTGCAGAAGTGGAAACCACATCTTAGCAGGCCAAAAAACAAAGCTACTAAGAAACACCTGCAGATCTAATGACCACACTGTCAGGAATGTCTTACTGGGCTGAAATAAGCAGTCCACGACCAGATTCAAGGCACCCGGAATATGACATGCCAACAATCTAACGTGATGATTGTGGGTCCAGAACATTCAGAAACAAAGATATTGTGACTGGATACCCCCATGCCTGGTGATACAAGACACTACCATGGAATTGTTGGAGTGGACCATCACTGAACACCTCTGAACATCTGACAAGAAGTGAAGCAGAGCACGATGAACTGCCAGCAACTCCCAAACATTGATATGGAAGGTCAATTCAGCCTGTGTCCAACCACCTGAAACCTTTTGAGTTTTGAGATATGCACCCGAACTCGAAAGGAAAGCATCTGTAAAAAGATGACAATCCAGTTGAGGAAGTAGAAAAGGAACACTGATGGTAGTATTGGTCCAATCCAACTACCAACGAAGTCAGACTGTAGGGTAATAGGAGCATCTAAGGAATCCTAAATGAGGCTCCAGAGGTCAAATAACACCCACTGAAGGTGATGCATGTTGGAGCAACCAAAGATAATGAGGGCTTCAAGAGTAGTCCATGTCCCAAAAACAGATAGGGTAACTCATGTAGTAGGAGAAGGA